GTGTTGTTCTCCGTGCCTCCTTCAGGATGGCGCAAACCGCGGGGTGGACAGCACATGACTTGGCAGAAAGGCGTGAAAGAGATCACGAAGAGTTTGGGTATTGTACACCTTCCAGGATGGGGTCCCTGTGACCCCGTCTGTGCTTGGCTGGAGAGGTTGCATGAAATGGCGACTAATCGATATCAGTGGCGTTCGTGTTGTCAGTTTCTTTCCAGATTGTTTGATTGAGCGGTTGGAGGTGTAGGCACCTCATAATGCTTGATGTAGGCCAGCACTAGGTCCCCTCCCTCACCCGCTCTTCTCTCCTTTTAACTCTAGGGCTTATATTATCATTATATATATATGTATACATATATATAGACGAACCTTATGGTTGTACGGCAGTGAAGCATCAGTGGCAACACTGATGTTGCTGTCTTTGATGATGATGATGATGCTCATAGGCGTTTGTTCCATTGGACCCGTCCCGTCCATGAATCTTTCCATTGATCTCGCAGCTGTCCGCAACTGGAACTGGTCTTCCATACCGCCCCCCAGATGCATAGATATCACATGTANTGCTGTCTTTGATGATGATGATGATGCTCATAGGCGTTTGTTCCATTGGACAATCTCCGTCCATGAATCTTTCCATTGATCTCGCAGCTGTCCGCAACTGGAACTGGTCTTCCATACCGCCCACCAGATGCATAGATCACTCATCACATGTACTCCAAGGTGTGACGTGGAAGCAGCGAAATTCTTTGACGGTGGATGAAGTATTTCCTCGCCGCACACATTTCATCTTCAAGTTGATTGGATCCTATCTAATAAGACAGTACCAAAACAAATGCATAAAGACCGAATTCGAGGACCTAATGAACCGAGTTAATGTTATCACTGCTATTCTTACTATTCTTACAGACATACATAATATGAATCAAGCCATTTAGCCCCACTATAGCAAAGCCACCTGCGTGATCTCGAATTTTCTGCTCTTCACTAGAATGCAAATGGCAGCACTCCGGGGTTGCAGCTTTCATTAATATGTTAGACTGATTTTCACTATGGTCAGTAACACCAACAACCACGTTCGTGCACCTGGTGTCGGTTGACGATGTAAATCGTGATTGAAACAGAAAATTCCGCAATTGACTGCCGACTACCTGTCCCACCTAAGATGAACCCAGTTGGACACGGTGGACCCCTCCACTGATTCAATGTTAGGCTTGTTGCTATACGCGATACCGGCACACCGAATAATTAGTACACAATATATTGCTTGTTATTAGCTCAGTGACTGACCGAACTTAAAGTAGCATCCAGATGTTTGCATTCTGATTTTTGTTGAGCTGAGGTCAGCTACCCAGAATGTTTGTCGTCCAACGGCATTGTTTCTTCAAATTGATGAGTGACGAAGCCCGTACGGCCCGGCGCTAGATGCGCACATCCAACCAGCACTGCAAAACTCCCGATCGCTAAGAATATTGCGGGATTCCGAAGCTCCGAGCACTTCTGGATAACGTTGCCGTAACTGTTAGATCCTGTTTGTATCTTGTTTTCATCAGAATATGGTTGAAAGTATGATGCTGACAGCCTTTCGGTCGTCCCCACGCAACAAAAATCTCACTGCGAGTCGGGTTGGTTATTTAAACACAGAGCTTAATGTGATAAAAACAAGCAACGTGCGAATTTAAATAGCAATTGAAGCGAATATTGACAACACGGGTCGTAATGATGACTGGTGCAATGGATAAGATGCTAGCTGTGGAGTCACTAAAATGGTGGAGTAGTGGTTACACACTCGCCTCGCATGTCAGATGTCCTGGTTCAAATCCCGGGACGTCCATTGGATATGCACTGCTGATGAGCTCTAATAAGAGCGAAACTCGAGTCCAGTGCTTCCCTTTGGTGTGCACTCAGCGGAATAGTTACGCCAGAATAGGAGGACGACCGTTCAACCGAGAGTGGTGTGACTATGAATAAAAGTAAATCGCCACGTACCTGCTATTTCCGCGCCGCACAGTTGGCCTACCAGGTATGAAATGTGCACGGTTTTTGGGACTCCCGTTAAAGACCATTGTGTGAACCAGTCCCTTGTCTGAGCAGTCTGTTGGTCAGTTAACTTCTACACCCTGCTGGCTTAATACGCAAGCGCTGCAGTCGTGAAATCCCGTTCCAATTTTTCCAGTCGGGACCGTAATTCCTATTATTACGGTCCTTGTGCTGTGGCACCCCACTCCATGGACTGCGGTTTCCGGAATGTGAAGTTGGTAGAATGAAAAGAGTTTCATGCAGTTTTAAACATCCACATCGAGAGCCAGGTATTTATGCCGTCTGCGCCATTCCCCAGCTGTCAAGTAGATAATGCTTTTAAATATGTATTTGATAAGGATTACTAAACCCCATCGGCCTGTGGGCGTGACACTTGAGTCAAATTCATCATGCAGGGTTTCAGTATGACTGCGTCCCCATACTTCCTTGCCGGTAAGTTTTTGTGTCAAACGCTTAAGGTGTATTACTCCAAACATACCCAATCACCAACATGGGTAACCAGAAATTCCCATTCGGCCCATTACTTTTTGTCCACCGTTGCTCCCCTTGAACCCATCTATTTGCTACCCAGACTGAAAACACCCTCAACTGGGCAGTTTTGTGAAGAAGTCGATTTATGGTCTTGATTCAGAGAGAGGAACACACCGAAACCAGTTTGCTTGCACTTTTTGTTCCTCGTGTGGGTGAGAAGGTGTACAGACGATCGATCTGCGAGAAACGCGTCGTACACTAATTCAAGGACGATTTTCATTATCATCCTGATTTCGCATTAGTCTGGGACACGGGTTACGCGACACGTGACTAAGATATCATATAGGCGATACTGCGAAGGAATCACTGATTGCAAACAGCTGAAGAAAATTGTTTTCCTAATGGCTTCGAACAAATGCTGTAAAACATCAACCGATATCTTCCTGCTAGTTGCTCTGATAGTAATTTCACCTACATTCGTGATGCACTACCTGAATGTGCTGCACCAGGCCGCCTCATGTTTCAGTCGCTACGGTATTCGAGATATCGCGATACATGTACATTCGTGATGCACTACTAATGAGGTTGGTGAAAATTCGTCGACAGCCCACGACAGGTTTTGCCCTTCTTGGGGCTCATCAGGTAGGCGCAGTTCCCGAGTTTCCGTCAACCTTATGTTCTACTTGAAACCAAATTGCACGAAATTAGTGAAGTACATTCATTTGCAAACTAATTTGGTTTTTCGAAAGACTCACCTGGAACCTTAGCCCGCTATTTTCGTGCAATTTGGTTTCATGTAGAACATAAGGTTGGGGGAAACTCGGGGACTGCGCCTACCTGATGAGCCCCAAGAAGGGCAAAACCTGTCGTGGGCTGTCGACGAATTTTCACCAACCTCATTAGTAGTGCATCACGAATGTACATGTATCGCGATATCTCGAATACCGTAGCGACTGAAACATGAGGCGGCCTGGTGCAGCACATTCAGTTGCATGGAAGCATCATAAACGAGAGATTCAGCCGGGTTCCAGGTGACTCTCTCGAAAAACCAGCAAATGAGGATATTTCGGTCATCTCACCTAGTTTTTTCACCTAATGGCACACATGAACTCTTCAAGGGGCGAGCTTTTGTTTTCCTAACTCTATGTTCTGTTTGGAGATTGTCGTCTATGGTTCGATAAATTTGGGAACTGAAGAATCACTCGACTTTTGTGGACCAATGTGATTACGTCATAATCTCGCTCCGTCTCCGAAACCAATGACTCAGAATATCAACAACATCCCCTTTCTCAAGTTAATTGCTACGGATACCCTGAAACTCTTGTTATCTGGCAAACTCCTAATGACCTGCGGTAGACTTGTACCCACGCTGTCCCCGTAAACTGATGCCTCCAGCCTATCCAAATCGATAAGAAGAGTCTCTTCCTGCGCAGGTTCTTCAGCCATTCTGGTTAACTGCTGCTAGCTTGAGAAAGTTTTAGAACTGCCAAAAGAGGTTTCATTCTGTGAGTGAAGATGATCTATGCTGAAAAGCCAAGAAACACTGTACAGTTGCTTCATCCTTTCAAGCAGTTAATTTACGAAGATATTAATCTTACATAAAGCTGCAGTTATTAATGCACTAATCACAACCTGGCTCTGATGATGGCTTCCTTCTGATGACATCACCCAACTACGCCAGAATATGATTTAGCCCAAGGTCATTGTACTTTTGTAGCAGATGTGATCTATGGAGCGAGGGTGAACTGGCCGCTTGGGAACGTCGGCGTGTCTCTATTTCATGTTCACATCACTCCCGTTTGAGCAGTCCTTCTTCCGTCCGGGCGCAGTTATTTCGGTGAATCCACACCATAGAGGAAGGGGAGACACCAGACTCGTTGGAGTTCACGAGCAGTACCTGGAGTTTGAACTCCGGATATCTGACATGCTAATCAAGCTTGTTACCGCTACCAACGCCTGCTAGGCCATCTGGTACGGAGCGCTGTAACGTTTGTCCATTTGCTTACGCTTGACGACCATGCTGAACGGCATTACCAGCGTGCGCTATTTATTAGATGGCAGTGAAGTCATGTGTTTAAACAGGTATGGTCAAATGGGTGAATTTCTAATCGATCTATTCAGCTTTGAACAACTAGCAGATCCAGTGGTCACTAACGTGAGGAAATCGGTCAGTGCAATCGACTGTCCACAATAATCATGACCCGAAATCGAGAGGATTCTGGTCTCATTTCGCATCTGAAGCGCGACTGCATCCGTCTCGCACATTGCACAGCAGACGAATATCATTTGTGGACAAATAAAGTTGTCCAACTGTTGCCTCAAATCGATGCCTTGCTACTAAGCAGTCTGAACGACGTTTGAGATACCACCGGGTGCCCAAATCTAGATGTTGGCGATGGAAAGACACGGCCGAATTTTTCGGTTCAGCCGTTGCACCTCAACCTTTGAGCTATCTCAGGCAGATAGCTGAATCAAAGTTGTGCAGTAACCTGAGTGATTAGGCCATGGGTAGTCAAGACTACTGTTAAGAATAACTCGGGTTGTGAAATAAGATATACGGCTTGAAACCCTTTTTTAAAAACCCGTTACAGCTCACACTGCCATCCGAATAGCGCCACCATCCAGCCCTAGGGTCTTCGCAGCTCCAGGTCTCTGAATTGGGCCGTCTGTCCAAACAATCACTACTCCGTGATCTGAGTCCAGGAATTGACCAGTGAGCACTGCCAGAGGCATTTTGGTGTAGCATGATTGCGCTCATCTCTCTCAACGTGCACTTTTGTGAAAACTGTAGCCCAGTATGTGTGTAACAGTTGTAACGGAATTTGAGTAAGCTTTGTTCTATATAATGGTACTTCTGTTACTCAAATACCTAGTCTAAATGGTTGGCACATTCGGTGGACCGCTACTCAGTGTGGAACATTTCGAATCTTCATGTCATTCGATTTTTACTCATGATATTTTTTACATGACAATTCGGACCCGGGTGTTGTATTTCCAAAGCAAACACCTGTTTATGTTTTTCCCCGATGAGACCCCCAGTCTAATTTCGGTTTCCGCGTCGGTTGCCCACATGCACACGCTTAATGTTCGCTCACCCATTAGTACATGGCGGAGCACCAACACACACGTACATGTTTGCCAGCTTGATCTAATGTCCATTTCTATGTTAAGTAACTCAATTCGGTTTGTTGATCGCTTCTCACTTCTTTCAGAGTCGACCAATTTTGGATGACTGCAGAGTTGATTTGGTGGCCAAACTGAGTTCGCTGCTCATCCATCTATGCGTAAGCACCTCCTTGCTAGATCTCCGCTTGATGACATTCTTCTTTGTGCAGAATTTGTCAGATCAAAGAATGATTGATCAAAGCCTGACATGTATAGATGATATTCTTAGAGAAATCCGTGCATGCTTGCACCCGAACAATCTCAAGTAAGTTTCATTATTCTTGTTGAATACCTCACCCCTATCTACAGATGTTTCGAAGTGACTGTCGAGCACTTGATTGGGCAAATCATCCATGCAGTAACCAGTCCACATCCAATCAATTTTCCGGCCAGCTATCCTTCCAATCAGACTTTACCACAAACCATGTATTCTGAAAATTTAGCTTGTATGTGACGTCGGGCTGGTCTGACTATGTTGGCTGTGTTCGTCTATATGCGTCTGTTTCCATTTTCGTTTGTTTTCCATTTGATTGCTCCTCCACTTGCTGGAGTGCATTTAAACAGGGAGTTGTATCTATTTCCAGCTGTCTTACTTCTGGTGCATAGTTCATCTTGTTAACTTTGTCACCAACACGTTAGTTTACGTTGTTGTCCTCGTTACTGCATGCTCTTTGCCGATGCCTCCTATGAGTTCATTGCACCGATTCTAGTGGAGTGGAACGCTTCGCCTCTTGTGGCCCAATTCCTGAATCCATTCCTCTCAGTCGCTGTACTCCCGTTCTCTGTACCGAATTTCTCAAAGAGACTTGAATTTCTCGTTCCCACTTCTACTAAGTCCTTCTCTTTTAGAGCCTTGTACAAACTCACTGATACTGAGTTTGGACTGATAACGATTCGCAACTGGATGTAGTGTTATGTCCTTTGGCCACGAAGGATTGCTTCCTCTTGTCACATGAACTTGTTCTGGGTCCATAGATTAGTTTATTTTGATCCATACCTCAACAAGTATGCACGATTCATCATTTCAGTTGCTTGTTATTCGTAAATCGGACAACAAATACGAAGGGCGGGTTTTTTAATAGATCAGAACAAATAACTGCAAAAAATATCAGGACATTTGCCCGGAAAGCCGCCCTATCCAGCTTACTGTTTGCATCAGACTTCAAATAACAAGTACTACCACCATCATCACTATCATGGACGACATCAGTGTTCAATACTGACGCTTCGCTGCCGTACAACCATGATTTATTTGAAGAAAGGAATAAAGGTGGACGGAGAAAGGACTTAATGCTAGCTTACTACAATCATTCCGAGGTGCCTACACCTCCAAACACTTATTCAGGCAATCTGGGTGGAAACTGAAAACGTGAACACCGTTGGAATCGATTAGAGTCATATCCTGTAGCGACTCTAACCATGTGTAGTGGGGATCACGTGGTCCCCATCCTGGTAGGCGAGTAGCATTGATACCACTTGAACGTTTTGTAATCTCTTTCATACCCCTCTGCCAGGTCAACGGTTGGCCACCTCTCTGCTCCCGCCACTCTGAGTTGGGCATGGGAAACAGCACTCTCTTCGGCAAACGATGGTTCGGCATATGCAATACATGACTTCACCAGCGCAGCTTCTGGTGCTGGTCACATTCTTCAATGGAGTTCCCCGTCGCACAACCAGAAAATTGCTTTGTAATTGCCTCATCACGGATTCTCCGACATCAACTCACATGAGCCATGGTCCTGACGCGACGATTGTCGCAGAACCATGGCTCTACCGCCACCGATAGATCTACGAGTATAAAAATTGGAGACTCGTGCTTACGTAACCCTAACGTAGAAATTATCGTTTGTGGCTTCTGGGCGAGATGGCTCAGATGGCTCAACGATGCTATTAACACATGCGATGCAATTGGTACTAGCAGGCAGTCGTCTTCTCTCCTTCACTCAAGTGTTGCACACCCATACAATAGCACCGGTTGCACCGCAGCATTGTTTTGTCAGACTAATATCATGGCGTCTCATAGGTGATTAAGCTGAAAGAAGACGGATCAAGCTTCTCCGCTTCGTCGGCAATACCACAGACAGGAGCGGCTTACTTACTCAGATAAGTACACTTAGTAAGTCACGTGCAGACCGACTAGCAACATAGCGTGCAATTGGTTGTTGATGGCAGTCTCGTTCGTTCGCTTCCAAGCTCGGGTCGTGGACAATACGACACAGCCTCAGGATCACCAGATGAAGCATGAATAATGATAATTCCCCTAAGTTGTTCGAAGATGCTTATTAGCATGTTTCTGATGTACTGCACACGTTTGTTTCCCAGGGTGATGGATGGGACAAGGGAAGTTTATCGACCAATCTGACAATGCAGACACTGGATTTTTCTTTTTGCGGTGGGTGGCACAAATAGGCCATTTGTGTCGCTTTTTGGACTAACGGCCGAGAAGTGAGATTTGGAAGAGCGACGAGTTGTGTGAGAAGCATTTAAAAGTGACTCTTGTTAGTATTCCAGCACTCAGTTGTTTTTGGACTGCAGAACTACTACATATTCGGATATGTATTCATGCTCAGCTAATTGCGCTGCGGTTTCACTGCTCAAACCCAAGACTTCTCCCTAGGTTCGGTCAATCTGGTTATACCTCAGCAGTCGTGATTACTTTGAGTGGCATGGCAGCTAGACACCGAAGGGTTGTTACAACTAAACTATTGTTTCGTTATTATGATACCACGACGGGTCATTTGTGGAATCGTTCAGCTGTGACACCCTTCCGGTGCCTGGCTTCCATGCCACCCGAAGGAAGCAGGAGGGTGGGGATTCTGCCAGGTTGCCCAAGCCTAGACAGGGGAAGTCGAGAAGTAGAGGTCGGGCTCGAACCACCGACCTTCCGATCAGTAAATTCGCGCTCCAACCACTTGGAAACATTGTAAATAACTCAACTCTGGGTTAATCATTGCATCTAATTGGAGTGATCATTCACTGAGGGCGATCGTTTTCCCCGGGGGGGGGGGCGATCCGTGATGACTTGCACAAAAATATTACACAGTTGATTTTGAAATAACGGATATGGTGCTCATGACACAGGTTTATTGGGCGTGATACTTTTTTTCAATTCCAAGAGGGCCATAATGGTATTGTTCTCTCACAAGTATGAAACAATGGCTCAGCTTTCACTACCTATATCAATTGACCAAAGGTTGACAATTGGTGGACAGTCGATGGTGATGGGAATAACACTGCAGTGGCATGATCTGGTTGACATTGTGGGCATTTGTAACGATTGTTGACAAGGTTTGTGCAGTTGGAGTACCAGTCGATCGTTGCCCTTGTGGCGAACCTGTAGACGTTGGATTTTTGTAATGGTGACCGTTGAATGATGATCGACCAGGAGAGGATGTTGATTTCCTCGAACTGGATCCGCTTGCACATCACACGACTCCCAACACCGTCTAAGTTCGTTCAGGCTAAATACGTGTAAGAAGAAAATGTTTGATAGATAGATGTTTGCCACTAATCGCAGCTTCGTCCACACTGATGAAAGCGTTTCCCAAAGTGGGAAGATACATTACCACCATAGAGCTTTTACACCAACTAAACACTCCAGCCACATCCTGCTTTAGGACTGCGGTAGACTTTGAACTATGGAGTTCACGTTCACGGAATAGGGAAAAAGCCTACTGGTGATGGACTGGCATCAGCAATCTTCTTCCTTATGGTTGGATTCTGCCGCAATCAAACTGCCATAGATGCTTGTTCGTCAACATGCCTATGCCTTCCCATGTAGTTCAGCACATCTCTGCCAAATCGACTAACAATTGATGCGTATCGGTGCCGTTGGTTAGTTCCTTGTGCGACTTTCACAATGGACCATATGTTGACTTCCCAGTAAGAAGTCGATGTTTCGTGTTCACTTCCAGGAGTGCCTTCTGGGTAAATGTACTCGTACTTTTAATGTACTGTATCTGCTGAGTACAGCCGCTCGTAACAAGGTGGTTGCACAAAGGCTGTTTAGCTGCGATGTTAGATGTACTAGTTCTCTGATGGAAACGGATACGTAAAGGAGTATTACAATCCGTAATAAAGTTATGCGGCTACACGGAGTCACGGCCTAAGTGTAACTCTGTGTTGGTACTAAAGATGATCATTTCAGCTAGTTGGTACTCGTTGTACAGCAACTACTGCGTATTCGAGGGTGTCCTTTTGTCCTTCAACGAGCTTAGATTAACGGACACATGTAAATATCGAACAGACAATTCTTTCCGCTTGCGGAGTACCGTTAAGGTCACGTGGCTGCATGCGAAGCAGCTGAAACATACACTCTTATCCAGTGATTTGCAAGCAGATGTAGTCATCCCAAAAAGTGAACTTAGGGCGGAGGGGGGATGACGGACCTAGATTTAAGGACATTATCTATTGGAGAGACATATTTTTGGGCAACTGCGCAGTTGAAAGTGGTCACATTCCATTGAATTGCGACTATTATTGCCTTTCAAATAGTACTCTGTCATTTCATGGTTTCGTAGCCTAGGCAGAACTTTGAGACTTTTGTGCTTAAGCTATGGAAAGGAAAACGGTGAAAATACCTTGGATGATTCGATGTAGCTACTTCCTTCCGATCGTCGATAGTAGTCAACGTAGACGAGTTTGTCACACTTTCCTTCGTGCGCTACAAATTTCGGATGTTGTGTGGGTGACATCGCGTTTTCACTCAGTACAACTTGTCCTTCATCATAGATCACAATGTGGTGAATCTTTCTCCAGAACGGGAAAACCAAAGAGGTTTTTGGTTGCCATTTTTCGAACTCGGGATAATAGCCCTAATCGGAGTTAGGTTCGCTTTCAAAGAACACAGGACAGAGGGCAATACACCGGATCGCCAGGTCTCCGGTTCGGTTCCCAGTGTGAACTCTCAGCAACTCCTTTCTAGGCAAGAGATACCCGGTGTAACGATGATACTACTGATCGGTTTTTCCGCGAGTAGTATGTGTTGTTCGTAGAATTTCGCTTTGCGTCGATTGAAAAAGGGAATTCTGTTGCGGAATTGGCGGGGCCACTCTGTAACATTTGCTTGGATTTGACCGACGAATGATTGGAGTCAATGAATTTCCAGGAAGACTCGTTCGGGAGAAGATCTGTGTCCAGTTTTTGTAACTAAGATGCTTCCCTGTCCAATGGTCTGTAACCGGTCAGTTGGCATTTCCGAACAAATAACTCCGCAGCGAAGGCCTTCTTCCTTTCACTGGTAATAGCTCAGCCATCACGTTCCCTGTAGATTTTGGTAGCAGGGCATCGAAACGACAATATGTCTTAACGATTAATTGTTCTGTGAACACAAACGATAAGATCCGTGAGGACAAAAGCGCGTGCAACCAGTACGTGTCCCGTCTATATGAACGATGCCCGTTGATTTGTGAAACGGATAAATTGATTGACTAGTGTTACACGTTTTGTGTGCTTTCGAGGGAATGGCCAGTTGGGCCCTTCCGTAGTGTATAATTCATCAAATTCAAGTTGGTTTTGACAGGAAATTCAATTTCTGAAGTTTTCACGTGCACGATCAGCGAGGAAAGAACCGCACCCTAACTCTTGTTCTAGACTTCACTCGTGACTGCAAATCGGACTGTCGTACTTCACTATCACTCATCTTTCGATGAAATCTCATTTCGAGAACCTTCCAGTGATTTTAATAGGATGCGTTTACCGAAGGGATTTAAGATCAAGCATACCAATTCGTTCTACTGAGGATTAAAGTGCCTAGATTCAGCCTTGTAGGCATTCAATTAGTTGAATTCAACTTCAGAATCTATGTATATATACGCTATTCGGCATGTGACCTGCTACCGGGGATCAAGTATTGTCAGCTACCTCGGAGAAAGGGCATCGCTGCTTGCTATGTACACCAGCGACTGGACTGGTTATAATCCCGAACGAGGACACGAATTAAATGTATACTGGCCATTCCCTTACAATTCCTGTGGCTGTTTTGCAGCTGACGAGTAGAACGGTTAGTTGTAACATATTCTTCTGCTCAAAAACTCAGCAGCTGCCAACCTTACCGCTTTGTTTACGTTCATTTTAACACAGCAGTGTTGGGAATTTCGTCCATATGTATACAGTACAGAAAACTAGAATCACACTTATACTCTGATTTCAGTCAAGGCGACCTATTGGCCGAATCATTTCATACCTCTGAACATCTTAAACCATCAGAGAGTGATAGCACTGTTCAACTAACTGAATGCTCACTCGAAATAGGCTCTGGGTGTAAGACTCAGTGGATCTGTCCTGATTGCCACATCCAGACGATTGTGAACCGAAGTACGTAGGGTCACCCATTTGCGTGCTGCCATACCTGGCTCCTCTCTGTTCGGAGTGATTGTGTTTTCTTCCATCCGCATATTTAAACTTGTCGACAGACTGTTCATTGTTGCTGGGAAAGATAAAATCGTGGGCTCTTCAGTTGTGATCTCAAATGTTCCAGTCTTAAAATCTGACAAGCAACCAAACAAAGTTCTAATCCTTCCCTCTCATACTGCTAACCAGTTTATAAGATATATTTTAAGAGCAAAGATTGTCAGGAAATTCGAAATTGTTCGCTGTGTTGGATATTCGACCGCCGGTCTAACAGAACAAGAGGTTCGACCCTCGAAAAGATGCATGAGGCTGTCACTGGTGAACGCGAGCACCAAACGATGAATCCGACAAATCGGATAGCGCAGATGGTTTCTGCGGAGAAGCTAATCGGATAAATGACAGAACACGTGAAACAGGCAAATTTTGGAGCGTGAAATTATATTATAAAGGCAGTGTGTCTATGATTGACATCGCTACGATTCGACATCGCTCTGTGAAAGCAGATATAAAGCGGTCCTACTGGAATCTTGCAGCTGGCATCCGTGACCTCACGATGATAGCAAACATCTCCAAAAAGATAACACATAACCACCACTGCTACGATCAGGATAGCTAATGATATAGTCCTACGCAACTGACCGGTATCTGTGTGGTAAAGCCAGATTGAAGCACTCGAAAATCCTTAAAATGCACACAGTAGTGCGGGAGGAACGGCTGTTGAGTAGTTTCCTGATTCTTTTAGTTGCGTTTCAGGAGTGAGACAGGCACGCTTTTCATTCTACTTGTTTTGTACTTTCAGCTGCTTGGTGGACGGTAGCGACATTGTAAAAAAAGTGAAAAAAATGCGGTTTCATTCTTTAAATGAGGCTTAATTAATTCTGATGAGCCAAGAAGCATTTTGCAGTGGTCTCATTCCCACTGGAAATCATCAGCAATGCGCATCTCGTGAAACTCCAAGGAATTCGGAATCCGCCACCCGCAGGATGGTCGCTTGAACACGAAACCGTTCGGTCAGGATCGGCTAATCAGCAGTGTGCTTACCTCACACACAGACAGGACATATCGCCTATCATCCGTCAATCACATGGTCATTTGTTGACTGACCCCGGGGATTGACTTCGCAGATATATATATANTATATATATATATATATAAGAATTTGTGTGAAGAAGCCTCAGGAGACCGGGCATTACGACGCTTCAGATTTGTTCGTATTTGAAGGTATTGGCTGGGGCAATACAAATCCAGAGGGCGCGAGTTGAGTGCCCCCGAGTGAGTTATCGATCCTGTCCACCCGGGTGAAATCAACCTATGAAGAGAAATTACAAGCCCCAAACAGGAAACCGTCAACACTGTGGATCTCAAAGGTGAGATTCGAACCAGAAGCTACCACCTATTTCTCTACTATTTACATTTAACCTTAGGCGACTGCCAGAGGAGGCTAACCAAACATGTGCGTAACTTATCGAGGCTCTAGTAGAATACATGTTGATATTCCCACCTATCCCGAAGAAGGTCTAAGATGAAATCATTGCTTCCCGCAAGGTGGTCCAAACTCTGAAATTGTCCTTGTGTTTTTAATCGAAAAGCAGCTTTCACGAGGCATCTCTCACGGTAACCTTCGTTCACCGATGTAGAACATAACTGAGTAACTAAGAAAAGTCTTAATAAAGAAAATTATTTATGCTGCAGGTTAAATCTTCGTAAAATGGCAGTTGTAAATGTAAGAACAGGTCATCTTTAACCTTTTACGAGAAGTGAGGCTTCCATTAGAGTAAGTCTACTTTCGTAATTCGACGAAATTTCTGCGCCCCAAAAATTACATTAGACAAAACAGAATGTATATTATCAACCAGTACTGACTAGTGATGTACTTTTTTCATATGGATATATTTTTATTCGTGCTGTTACCGATCCTGCATTCGTTCACCCTGTTAGCTGCCCTGAACATTTGGTCCGGTCGAAAAGGCAGCATTTTTCTGATAAGCACTTCGGTTACGCAGATCTGATGGTTAAAGGCAGAAGCTTGAGAATAGAGGTAAAGAGTCTGGTCTACGTTAAGGCAAACAAAAATCACACTTCATGTTGCTGGGGTTACAAATTATCTCTGAACAGAGCGACCGCCCGATGAACCCCAGACTCTTTCGGTTTCGACTTTTTCAGCAACCTTGCGTTTGAAAGTTTGATTACGCTATGAATTTCGTGGTCATTTTTAACACACTCACGTCTCACAATCAGTACGTTTTGGCAGCCATACAGCGTTGATCAACGATTACGTCTATGATAGAAACTCATGGTGATAAAGTGAACACGGAGAGATCAAAGTTTCTTGGAAAGAGCTCGTTTGAGAACAAATGCCAAAGGAAGTGTTTCATGAATAGGAAGAAATCAACACTCACTCACTTGAAACGTTCCTCCATAAACAAAAATCCCACAGATTAGATTTTGATAAAGAATATCTACATGGGACTGGAGGCAAAGTGGGATCGGATAAACTGCGATGCATTGCGCTGTCATATTCTGCGAAAGTATCACCGTAACCATGTGGTGTAGTTGAGTTCCCCGCGAGAGTTGTAATGTGTATCTCACGAGGTTCTTGCGGAAGTTGGAGATCCAGTTCCTGGCTCAAAAAGCCCAAAGCATCACTTGATGCTGTTGCTGTAAGCTTCTCAGCGTCTAGGATTTCTCTGTACTTCTTCAACGTCTCCACAAACTGCCGATGCACCGTGGATAGAAAGTTTGTAACTGTTTGTGTTGCATGCAGATTGATGCAATCTTTCAGCACTTTTGATAATACGGATACCTGAGTAAAATAAGGAAATTGATGGATATCAGGATTGCAGCGTCTTCTTTGGGGGAAGGGAGCAGGAAATCGGACAGCAAAATTCGATGAAAAAACGACGATGGATAGCACGATAAGTCTGCTGTTGTGAACAGTCGTGGCAAATTAACACAATGTGCATTGCAGGTAACCTGTAAAAGACATTTGGATAGCCGTCAATACATTGTCGCGCACGACACCATCCACAATGCAATAGTGGATTTGTGGAACCTAGCTTTTTGAGCATTTTGACAAGCGATGGTGATTTAACCCCGCCCTCTTTTGACGAACTCGCGCGGTCATGAAACTACTTTCTTTTGTGCAAGTAGTTAGGTTTGGAGTATCATATCTTGGAGTATCATATAGGTACGTCAGTCGGCTAAATGTGAGCTGATATCAATCCATCACAGTCACGCATCACTTTAATTACCCCTGTTTCGCTCACACTCCTCTCAAAAAAGCATTAGACCTTTATTTGGGCAGCCCATCTTAGGAAGGATAACACAATCTTAACGGGGAATGTTATGTACTCCGAAGAGAGTGGTATCTCCTTGGAGATCGGTTTTCTTCTCTACTAAATATGCACAAAATGTGGGAATGGTTTCGGCAGTTCAAAAAGTTGAACTGTTTGAGAAGCTTAGAGACATATTTCGGCCGTTATTCGATGTAAGATAGTCAGCCTGAACTACACTTTCAACACGAAGGCCTTGTGGGTCAGACAAGTAGCCTAGCCTGAAAGCATGTTAAGGCGTGCACACTATAAAATTTGAAATTATAGCCTACATTCCAAAGTCAATCATGAGGTTCAAGAAAATCTTAGATAGTCGGCCTTCTCAAGACTCATCAGATAGGTCTGCTCGCTGAATATCCATAAGCTTTATTTCCTATTTTAACACCGGATTATTTGTTGTACTACAAATAAAAATTGAATTCATAAAAATCAGGTCGGTGTGCACAGCTACTCAGCTAAAATTCTCCTCGCACCTAACTGAAGAATATCTTAGACGGATTCCGGAAGAATTTTATTTGGGTCCCACTCACGAGATAGTTGTTGAATCCATCCTTAATTCAGGGCCACCACTACTATATTCTCCTCCCAGGCGTCTTCTGAATGTGAATAGTTTGGTACCGAGAGTAACCCAGAAGGAATTCGTCAGTTATTTTGCTCTTATCTGCCTTTCAATACCATTTGGCTACATATACTAACGGAATAACGCAATCTTGTGCTAGGATAAAAAAGTACATGACAGCCTTTAACTCCATCGGCATTTTTCTTAGTAGACGGTTATTTATGAGTCGTAACGGGAACTATTCTGCAATGACCACGGATGGCATGCTGCTGTCGCTGAGAACCGACCATCATAATGATAGTAACGCTGTGTAATAACTTCAATGTCTCAACTTAGTTCCCCTCTTTGAAGCTTTCAAGCTGGCGTTCCTATCAAAACAACCACCAATGATGTGTCACGTGTATTAACATCCAGAGCCAGGTCAAAAACACACAATGCCTCATTATAAGGTGTGTGCGCCAACAGCATTCTGAAAATTCTGACGACTTCTGAATGCAGCGTTGGTAACTAGCATCCGGTGGATACTGGACCATGATTGGCTGTTGGGTACGGACTTTCGGCCAATCAGAACTCGCCTTTATGCTAGACCGGCAAGCAGTCCGACGTTCTGGCCAATCGCATGCGGGATGGGTTTTTGGCGGAGGCAGAACCTAACTGCGAGCGGTATCGATGCAGAATTCCGTTTAACATGCTGGTGGTGAATTTCATTACAAAACATGCGTGTTATCATTAGACTTGTGTACTCAACTCTGCTAATAGTAGGTGTACAGCATCATTTAGGAGGAGACACCATAATATATGATAATCACATGATCGAGGGCTGCTGTGCCCAGTCAATTCGCTGTATGCTCTCGGGTGAAAGTTAGAGACGGGCGGAAATAGAAAGCAAGGTTTCAAAATATCACATCTTGCTTAGTAGTGTTCCCTTTAGTGGAAAATACAGCTTACAATAAAGTACTTAGGAAACGCCGTTCACCAAACAACTCACTTTTGCCTCGTAGGCCACTTGGTTTGCTTGACATGCGTAAAGCCGGAACAGGTTGGACTGGACAACTTGGACAAATTCTGCGATGGGACTCCTGGAAGCGCCGTACTCGTTGTCTATCCCCGCCCGACATGTGTCGATAACCATCACGTTCAGACTGGGATTTCGAGCTTGAAAACGGCAACTGATTGCGTCAATACTGATAAATCCGTCCATACTGGCAGATGGACTGTTGGCGAAGTTCTTCTGTCAGAAGTGAAACGTTGATCATCCACGTGGTTCATGCAACGAAGCAGTGTACCTTACGAAATGATCTGGAATGTTTTATCCTAAGTCCTACTATACTGCTGATCGGATTTACTGGAATGCTAGATGTCCTACTTAAATACGTTTTAAAGTCAAAAGTTGCAATATCTGAACTAGCCTTATAGTGTATTTCAAACTATGCTATGTTAAACGCATGAAGCAAGGCTCTCTGCTAAAATTACTGTGATTCCCTCTAGAAGAAGACAGCACGGGAATAAAACTTTTTGGTTATGCTAGGGATGGCACTTCATTAGAGATCTTAATCCAAACTGCGGGAGATGGGAACCACTTCTATGGTTTCACGTCAGAAGGTCATCTTTCCTGGGATCATAAAGTAGGGTCCATTGAACACCGGTTACTAATCCATAAAATAGAGGACTGAAATTTTCCTACAAAACAGGGTCCAGTTAAGCGTTTAGCAACAAAAAGCCTCGTTTCGTCGCAAAACAGGAAAGTTCTCCTTTGCATCCAGTAAAATGTAACCAGGAAACCTGCTAACATATGTCCACGGCCCATGATATTCTATTCACTGCCTTTCTGCGACCGTATTTTCACCACATCAAAATGGTGGAAACTGGCTGATGGCCCGATGGCTTTCCTTCTGTGGAGGTTGTCCAAACCACGATGAGCCGGTTCTTCCTGAGCTTCCGAAATCCCATCCGGTGCCCATCTCGTACAAAACCCCGAATGACACTGGGGCGTTACTATTATCACCCCCTCATGGAGATGTTCAGATCAATAGACGCAAACGATGCTACAGCGTTCCCGGTAATTGACGCATCCTGTGCTAGCCCAGTGGTACGGTTGACCAGGGTGAGGCACTTAACGCCAGAAAATCTGCTATTATCTATTACTGAAATTACTTTACTTTGCTGGACAATTGTCGCCAAAGAGGACTGTGTGCGATCCCCATGATTACTGGTTAGATTTCATATGTTTGTATGAGACCAGACTGTACATCACAAAGATCATACGAAACCTTGCAGCGAAAATAAACACATATTACTAACTCTACTACGGTTGTCAGGTAGACATTTCGAGTCTTTACGGGTCACCTTCACGTTGAGCGACCATGCTCAGAATAAACTCAAATCTCGGAGCTCGGTCTCGCCCGGATTTGTGGTGGATCTCTGAATCTGGCTACAGTTGCCGTGTAAGCATTCACCTTCTCAGAGGACCTCGCTGCCAAGTGAAGCCGTTAACATCAGCCGTAAAGTACGACTAATTGGGTGCTTAGGCGTGATTCACTATTGTTCGCAAATGATTAATTTTTCTGTAAGCCGATTAGATGATTCCATTAATCATATCCTGGGAAAGCCCGGTCTAAAACAAGGGTGTGAAAATGGTGACAGATGACAATTTTACTGCGTCAAACTACCTTATCATCACCATGGTGCACTTCTAACACGCCAAACGGCATTTGCTAACGTGACTATGTGGCATCTCGACTCAGCTATGTCCTGATACAATCTCATCGGACATCAGCGGTAAAAGACTGTCGATCGTATCAGGGAAATCAGGAGACAATGGAGGATCGGACCGTACCCTGCTACGGGTGGGAGTCAAACTGCATCTTGCTAAGTGGCAAATCCTTTGATTCTTGAAACGTCCTTTCACTCGGCGACGCAAGGATTTTCACAAAACCCCTCTAACAGAACACCAACACTGACAACCAACTGCTCGTAACCACCTGAAAATTGACCGGTCTTAATGGATTATCAGCTATCTGTATTTAAGGCATCTATCCAACAAGCGTAGAATGATTGTGTCAGTGCTGTTCATTCAAAAGATATACCCGTGTAAGTCAGCGCTACCCCATCTATTCTCCCGACCTCCAAAACTCGGATGCAAAGTCGCTAGGAATGCAAAAGCGATCATGTTCCATACTGGTCATATATAGCCACAAATACGACGAACTCTTCGAACTTTTGTGTCCTTGCTGAGCATATCCGTCTACTCCGTGTCCTCGCCGATAAATGCCAGCCAATACAGCCACGTTTGGGCAATAAAAGCGGTAGGCTGATAGTAGATCACTCAGGAGAAACAACGACAGGCGGACTATTTCAGTCAACTGACAAGACACCCCGATCTTCATACGAAAAACATAAGCGCCGTTATTGGAGCCTCATAACGTCAGCTGCGAATGGCTTAGTCAATCAGAGTTTACTTTTCCGGTCGCCTGCCCCGGGAATCGGAAGGCTCCAGAATAAGGTGGTAATCCCTGATAATATGTGTAATTATTGACTGCACGTAATATATCCACTTCTATGTACAGCATTCCGCTTCAGCGAGTGATCGGAGTGTCTTTTTGATTAAAGTATCTTGACTTTGTTTCAGAAGAGCTTGGTAAACAATCGATTGTTTACCAAGCTCTTCTGAAGCGATGAATTCTCAATCGGCTCCAAACTTTTTCCAATATCTTGACTTTGCTTCCAATCAGAGATTCGTGACAACAGAGTATGTGAAGACCGTCAAGAAATCAGTGTCATACACGGTGCCACTAAGATTCTGGCTTCTCCTTGGGAGATTTTCGAAGCACAATATGTTAGAAAACGACCCAATTATGGTGGTTTTCCCCAGAGAGGAAATCTTTGGACACCTGGAACATCAGACCAGATTCCAGTAGCAAAACACCACCCCCCGTCATTGAATTTGGCACAGTGTTCGATTACGTCCCCGTTAACCAGCCAGATTCGCTGCTCTCATCAAGGTTCACTGCTTGTTAACGAAGAATTGAATCCATGTTTATAGCAAAGGGAGCTTAGGGTTTGATCTCGCATCTTAGATTCGACAAAGATATCAGCGTTATTCAACTTTGTAATTGATTCTGTGATGGCACAGGTACTAGACGGATACCCTAGACTTTAACCAGAGTCAAACAATCAGATCACTGTCTTCGAATATGTCGATAGCATCGTTTAATTCTGTGAAGAAACCACAAGACTTGCAAACTGCTGTTGATCGAGTTGACAACTGTGTGGGAGTCATCGAAGTGGCGACCAACATCAGTGACACAAAATTCTTCTCTACCTACACGTAGTGCTCAACGGGTAACCCTTCACAAATTGCCCCAGTGTTCGTTGGCTTTTTGTACACTCTGGTCTTTGGTTTTTCCCCCACGTTATGTGTCATGAAGTGTCAAAGGGCCAGTGTACCCGAGGGTGACTCTCTCTCCGTACTAAATTTGATGTGTGGATTCACTTCATTCAGATAGTTGTGCTTCCTGTTCCACTAGCGGATGCTCATAAACCACTACTGACATCTTGTAGAACATCTTGTTTATAAAAAACGACGGTCACAGGTCACAAAATTTGCAACATGCTGCTGTGGAAATGTTCTGATGACCTACTCCAATGACTGTGGGTCCACACGGCATATTTCCTAGGCTAACCTGTATGCAAATCAATGGGTGTCCCAGCGCAAAATGATAGTAATCAAGGCGCAGGCATCTGTCACATTTTAAGGAAGAGGCATCATTAAGGGGTACTACTACCCTAGGGGAATATCGCCCTACGCTGACACTTCCCCTAATAGTAGCGGTTTCGGTAGAATTGTGCAAATCCAATTCAATGTATTCTAATTCAACGAAAAACTACTTTCGAAAATTGTACCGCGTTATTTTCGCGCACATTTTAAACACACGCCTCGACAATTGTGGTGAACTTTGTGCGTTTTTATTAGCTCGCCGATTTGCTACTCCTGACAAACACACCTCCAAAGAATTGGCACAGTTACACAAGCGAACAATAAGGGTGATATGCAACCTTAAACTGTCGCTCAAGATTAACTATTATCAACGCGTAGCCTGCACTCTCAGACCATTCAGACTGAGCTATCGGGTGCTGTGCGGCCTTCCATCGGTATGAAAGGCATTACCAGCAAACTCAGCTGCGCTGGTCACTGCCGTCTTCCTGGATGGGGACCCCGAGACGGGCCACATCGTGGCTAGAGTCGCGCCATCAGTGACGCTCGTGCATCCGAGCTATTGCCTTCAATGCATAGCTCCTTTACCAACCCTCCCCCCACTTGACATCCCACTAACAGTGCTGGATTTATGCACCAATTTATCAGCTCCCGCCTGTAGTGCGCAGCTATCCACCCCTCCCCCCAAAATCATCGGTGAACGAAACTGTGGTAGCTACAACCACTGTACGACGAGTACGCGGTTATTACAGCTGATAATGATAATGATGATGAAGATGAATGCTTAGAGAAGGGCAATTTATACATTTATGTGCAGGCGGAGGAATTCGAAGTTGCAGACGAAACTGAAATGAGCTCTGGCTGCGCCTGCGGCTACTCAGCCTGAAAAATGCTAAATACAATTGGGATATGGCTTTTTCTCCCGTAATGTTGGAGACCTTAGTATTCGCGCTGTCTATGGACGTCACAAAAGCCCTGCGAAAATGAAATCCCGGGATTGTTCCAGGAAACAGTTGTCCCATCCAGTCTACAACCTACTTCGGTTCTAATCAGAGCTCTAGTGAAAGCTGAACGAAGGAAGCAAGCAGCACGTGACCAATAATAACAATGGCAAAAAACTTGGAAAACCGATTTTGCCCCGAAGGAGAATAGCAGTGGACTTGTTCATAGCCTAACACTTTAATGACGGGACCCTCCGCAGCATAGGTTTCCCTCTGGCCCACACAGTGAGAAACAAACTAATTTTCTTTGAAAATTTTCTAGTTGAATTCTACTGGGGACTCATAGCTGTAAATTTGGAATCTTTCAGAGTGAGTAGAGATTGTAGATCAGTGAATAATTAAATCAACTACCACTGCCTAGTTGAATCTCAGGGGCTTTCCATATGACGTGGTACTCTGGCCCAAAATGCAGTGCTTGGCAGCTTTTCAGGGTACTGGCAAATTGGTTGCCGACTGACTTACCTATCATGCTTTACTTACTTTCTGTCCTTTTGTGTTTCAAGTAAACGTCAAATGAATTTCACATATTACCTCAATAAAACTCCGTTCAATCGTGGAAGTCGATGCTTAGTTGCTTTATTGTTAGCAGGTACTTCACTGGTGTGCTGAAACAATTCGTCATGGAAGAATGTGACTTCGCAAGCACTCGTGGAGAAAACGCAGCTGTTTTCGCGTGGAGGCTTGTCGGCAGGGGAAAGTCTCCCATCGAACGCCCGAAATTGTTGGTAGTGTGTTGTCAATTGATTTACAAACGTTTCATCACCATTCGAGGAGACATCTTCAGTGTGCTGTTAGCTGAAGAAGATGTCTGCTCTCCTCGAATGGTGACGAAACGTTTGTAAGCTCGGCAAACAGATCAACAGCCACCTGAACAATTCGTCATGAATAGAAGCAGCACTACTGCTTCACTTTCGGGAAACATGTCACTCTGTTTAACTGAAGATCTTTAAAGGAAAGAATGAAGATACGGAGCAGGAACTAGAATTTGAGGATAGCTTATCAGATGTTTGAGGTGCGTACACCTGCAGCATTCACTTAGATATTCTAAGCAGAAAGCGACGGTATGAAGGTTAATCGCCCCATTTTTAGTGTCTTCAGCCAAATGCAGGGAGAGTCACATTAGCTCCATCCTGGAAGACAAACAGCACCCACCAAGATATTTTACACTACCCTTCATTTTCCTCTGGCATACCATGTTTCGTCCACATCTGGGTTCCCGCGACTTTGAATTAGTCGAGTGAAACAGCGCCTTCCGCCCCGGATAATGATTACTTTGACTTTCACGCCTTCAATTTTGTACTTTGGACTCAAATCACACGCATGTAGTATTTTTATTTGAGACTGTCATCGTTCTGTCACTGAGGCCATCAGGTAAGATGCTGAGCACCACGGGCGTCTTTGAAACGCCGCGCGAAATGCGAATCTGTGGGTTCAGTCATGACTACTACATTTGGGGTTAGTCACTGAGATTGATACTCTGCTTTCGAGTTATGTTGTCAAATTGACGTGGCTAACAGTGTTCAGACTGTTTGAGTATATTGAGGATGAAACTGGTTGACGGTTTTTTTATGAAGAATTCAAAGTGTAGTCAATACACCAACACGGTACGCCGCGACTTTTCTGTCCACTCACATCGCGATCGCTCCAGACACTTTTTTGCGGTCCCCAAAAGTGGCGCTAACAATCGATATTCGCGAGCTCAACTCCTTGTTGCTTATTCGGGGATGTTCAGTGTGCTGCCGAAATAGTGAAAACCATGCTATCCTAACGCAGTTTATTTCCAAACACACTTCCCAGGAGCAGATTGATGGAAAACAAGGTTCTCCAACTATATATTTAAGCCACAAAAAGAGACGCTCTTTTGGATGTTGAAATTTGTTTTGGAATGCGTCAATAGGGTACAGTCGTCAGTAATTAGTAACATACGGTTCTTCGAGTCACATGATGTTCATTTGGTTAGAGTGCTTGTCGGAATGAGATCATAGTTTGTATGTGCTGCAGTTGATAGTGCCGTTGTAACGTTGGCTACTACTGATGAGACATGGGAGTAGTCTGTGGTTTTCTCGAAGCTCCGCCCCGCATGTAACAAAAGGTGCAGTTTATTACGAAACTTATGGAACTGCTTTGCAGCGTTCGTTTGCAGTTGTGTAACAGCCAACGAATATCCATGAAAGTTCCAGCAGATACGTCAGAATGCTCAGTTTTTTAAACTATGTGCACTGAGACGTTTACTTTTCTGTGCAAAAGCTTGTATCGTTTAGCTGGTGTTTGCTAATAAACGACCTCATAGCGAAGGGCCTTCCTTCTTATACCGGTATAAAATCGTCGAGGACACATGATTCATTTGTGAAATTACATTTTAGACCAAATGTTTCGGGATTTTTCGTAAACAACCGAGTTATACAGCTTTCCCGTAGACAGAGGGGGAGTGTGGTGTGATCTGCGCCGCTCAAGCTCACCGTATATCTTCCTGTTAAGATATCGGCTTTAAGCGTCTACTTCATAGTAGAATAGTCCAGCAAACTTTAAATCCTAACTAACAGCAGCTCACCGTGTTTCACTCACGAGGTCTTTTCTCTTACGACTTTACAAACATTGTTATGTATTCCACACCGTCGGGGAAGCAGCCAAGGTCCATGCCTGCGAACCAACTAACTGGCGATCACATCACAGAGTATCTGCTGCTGATATTTCTGAAACTATGCATCACGTTCTTTAGTCGTACTCTGCTGGTGCGCATCGAATATTACAACCACATTATGGCCTGGTATAATATGACATAGTACGGTATGGCATGGTATGGTCTAGTAAATTAAAGAATAGGTTAGTAAAGGATGAAATAGTACAATAGATTCCTGGCATTGTGAGGAGATTGTGAAACTTTGGTGGGGAGTTCGTCCTGCAAGTGAAGCTAGTCTATGCAGAAAAGCTGAGAAGCGTTGTACAACTGTTTCATCCCCATGGGGAATCATCGGCAGTGGGCTTCTCGCGAAACCGCTTGGAACTGAACGGTTAAGCGTTCAATCAACTAGCCGGTTGGAGACTTCCTGGGACCTCGTAACGAGTACTAAAAAGGATATGGCAAATGTAGAGTGTTTCCCGGTTTTTTGGTACAGTACGGTAGAGCAGAGTAAAGTATAGTATACTGTGCCATAAAGTAGTATAGTACGAAGTATTATTATGTATAATGATGCATTTGACTACAGCTTGATATACTGCAGTGTAGTACGGCATAGCAGAGTATCATAGGGTGTAGTTTAGTTGAGTGTATAAATGCTACCTGACTTCAGATCATCAATGTAAACAAAATCACGACTCTGTCTGTTAATGAGGTATTGCGGTGCCATATCGAATCAGACCTAGCGCTCCAAGAATAATTACATGTTTATTCGGATGCCCACATGTGAAAGTTGAAACGTGTTCAACCCTCCAATAAAACTCACCAGAGTAGAAATCTTTGCATTGGTAGCTACAGCATAATCCTGTCCGTTGATTCGAATTCCATGGGACCCAATATAAAAGAAACCATAAGCCCCACTGTTGAGAAAATTCTCGTAGAGTGCCACAGCTCGAAGTATTTCATCGGCACTCAGGTCTTGAAGAACCAGAACCTGAAGCAGAGGAATAACTGGACGGCTTGTGAGATGAACACTTCGGAAGAATTAACCGTGTCCAGTGACCGTTCTAATGGGGAAGGGTCTTTTCATCTAGGAGAAATTTACCGACCAACCATATTGTCTACGGAGTAACCATTAAAAACTACTACTAACACTCCCTTCTTATGTGGATTTTTAGTTATGAAATAGCACAGACGTTTTGGTGACGCAACCTTATTGGATGCCAGCTTTTCTTAGTCCCATGCATCTGGTCAGTGTACAGGATGTCCACTTTCCATACTCCTAGACGTGGGCCAAGCCGATCTGATGTCATAAAAACAACCAGCTGTTTCGTACTATGACACATCGGGAAGTCGAATTGTCATAACTTTCGTTATGTTTCATTTGGATTTCCTTAAGGGCAAAATAAACGTGTAATATTGAAAATCGGTCAGAACTAGACAGAATCTACTTCGCTCTCGCCAACTGTTCAGAGACGAGCATCAGAAATATCCAGCACTGCATTCCTTCATTCGAAGCTTTGATTGATCCCCTAGAAATCACCGGCTATCCCACAATCAGCTGTTTTGCCACGGTACCCCAAAAGTAGGTTGTTGCCCCACTAAAAGACCCCATTACGCTCGTTCACAAAAAATTCTGTACATCTGGTTCCGTTCGGTGTGGCTGAGTTCTATCCTCGTTATGGTGGGGAGATATGGGTGATGTGAACCAGTACTTTAAGGCTAGCAGTCAACAGTACACATAGCCGATTTGCCTATGAGTGTGGCGCAATCTCACTGATGTTTGGTCTGCAACCCAGACCATGGATCTCAGCAAATGTCCCAGTTCTAGGTCAAGGACAGCTGGAGTTTTACGTCGGCAGTTCACTCATCCGGCCTGCCTCGTCATGTAGTAAGCTTTAATATGCGACAAATACACTCATTTGCAAATCAGTTTGGTTTTCACGGGAGACTCAAGTGAATCTCTCGTTTGTGATGTTCTCTAACTGAATGTGCTGCACACAGGCTGCCTCACTTTTCAGTTGGTACGATATTCGAGATATCCCAGTATATTTTCATGAAGAAAACTACTCACAACGTTTCTGAAAATTCTTCGACAGCCCACGACCTGTATCGCCCTTTTTGGAGTAGGGCTTGGTAAACAATCTGTAGTTTTTATCTGGGTAACGTTTCGCTTTTGACACAAAAGCTTCATCAGGTCAAGTGAGTAGGTCACCAATTTGGCCAGGTTTTAAGGCAGACAGAGAATCAATCAGTAATACCTCATCAGATTAACACATCAGCTTTTAAAATGGGTTGACTAGCGGGTTCACTCAATTATGGTCCGGTTCACTGTTCTTGCACATATCGCTGTTGTGCAAATAAAATTCACCCTGTGGTGTACATTAGTCTGCCGAACCACCTTACTTCAGTAAAGAGAATAAATTAATTCCCTCCTACAGTGGCTACTACGAAATAATCAAACGAGAAAATTTCTAGGTGGAGAAAGAGTAAGCCAACTACATGGAGTGGCAAAAATTTTATCGTCGGTTTGGTCTTGCCCGTTACGCAACCGAAGGCCTTCGTCCGAATGGCTGAGTTCACCAAAAGCAGATCTGCCAATGGGAAGCCACGCGGCTCTGCCAATGTGGAATTTCAGCTATCGAAACATCTAGAAAAGTGCCCAGTATTTGGCACTTTTCATTAAATACAGTGAAGCTACTCAAAACACGACTTAGGAAAGAGGGTTAAGACCACAGAAACGGGACTTTGGCCTCTCTTCAAGGGACTTAGTTTTAAAGGATTGCATTGCTGATCATGGCTTGCGGGGGAAACTTCTGAAGATCTCCAAAATGATGGCTTCTTTTTGAAGAGGTTTGGTTTGGCTGTTTGATATTAATGGGGTTTCCTGGCTCCAATATTTGTGACGAAACTGGTCAAGTTTTAAAATATGTTTAAAGAGGATAAACTGCGTGACTAAGAATTTGTCGGCTTGTGTCGGTAAGGTTCAACTGTTTCAATTCTGATTGATACATACACAGGACAGTGTATAATTTATCATATATTTCACATTTCTATCCTCATATTTACTTGACATCAACGAAAGACTGAATAGGCAGTAAAGTGCTTTGGACAGAACATTGACGTTCCTCGAAAGCATATATACTCACCTGGTAATGATATTTTGCAAGACCACGGGCCAACTGGTGGAGAATGCTCGTGTTGTCATTGAGATTTGGAAACTCATCGAACTTTGCGTTTCCAATCAGGAGAGCTAGTTTGCTAGAGGCTGGTGAAACAAAATATGGGGAAACACGGATGCATGCAAGTAATAAGCAACAGTTTCATCAGAATATGAGATGCTAAGCTAATTCATTAAAATCTGCCAATTGGAAGACTGAAAATTTCCACGAAACTGGAGTTTTTCTTTCTAATGTGTTGTGCGATCATAGGTTCCGGAGTCCGGATTTGGTCAACATCCAGCGCAAAGATTTCACGAGGAAATTATCAAGATTTAGAGCAAATAAACAGGTTTTTTCTTTCCAAAATCTCTTAAGCGATTGATATCTTGTTTGAGTATTCTTTTCCCAGGCCATTTAGGTTCGCTGGGTTTTTGGGGGTGAGATTTAGAAAACTCCTCCCACCCATTTCGCCATTCCACCTGTCAAGAGGGAAGAGGTCCATCAAAATGGATTGCAGTTTATCTTTACGATTTCTTGTCCTAACGCAATTATTCTGATTAGTCTATATCTAAGATTTCGATTCTGTTTTATTACAGTTCGACAGTAGCCCACATTACACACACACACACACACACCAAGATTTGGGGTGCGATCAGCTTGCGCAAAAGATATGTGTATGCCACTTCACCGGCGCATCTTGTATTCCCCTTAGTCGTCAAGTATAGACAGGCGGAGAAATCCACGCTTGTGTGTTCGGTTGACCAAACAGTTCAAGACACGACTCACTTACCATTCTGTTTGTGTCAGTCGAATGGCCATCTCATCACGTCCGTTTGGCCAGGTGGCATCACGGATAGCGGAAAACCACCGAACACTTTTCTGAACATTCTTGAATGATTTATGAAATTCGTGTTCACATCAGTCATCCGAACAGCTCCCTTCTGTTTTGGAGGGATCGTTCGCTGTAGTCTAAATAAGTGGTTTCGAAGCGCTCAGTTTTGTAATAACTAAGTGGCCAGTGAGCCCATTAGTTCCGTTAGTTTACGACACTGCCTGTTGGCTGCTGAAAGGAACTCGTTGCTGTTTTCCGTCCTTACCTACCTGGTGGCAAAGTAGATGGATGATTTTCCGCTTTGTTAATTTGTGAGTCTTCAGCATGCACGGAACGGATCTTAGCATCCATCGTTTTGATAGTACTTTTTCATTTGAAAGGGACAAACCTCTTCCCGAGGATTTTCATGTTCATGTTAGACGCCAATAATCGTGACTAAAATCTGCCCAATTAGGTTGGCATGTCTAAAACACCTTTCCGATGCTTAGATGCTATGCTGCTCCAAAGAAGCACAAGGGCAGGATTATCACCAGCTTGCCCAAGCCTAGAGAGGAGCAGCCGAAAATACGGAGGTTGGTTTCGGAACATGGACCCTCCGGTCACTAAGTTCGCGGCTCAACCACGGAGCTTTCAGAGCTCGAGTGGTAGAACCTTAACAAGAGGTTTCTTAGTGTTGGAGTCAAGATAATTGGTTATGATTTATCATAGCATACTGCGCAACCTGTTTTTCCGAACAACGAAACCAAACTCTGATTGGTCCACTTTTACCTTCTCATTGTATTTGGAAGCATTATGGTCAGAGAATATTGGCATAATGAGCATAAGCCGGGTGTAGCATTTTCATCAAACCGGATGAAGTCCACTGCGATCTACTTCCCACAATGAGTCTCTTCCTAAGAAAACTAATCACAGGGTTGCTGAAAAATCTTCGACAACCGACGGCGGGTCTCGCCCTTCTTGGAGCTCATCAGGTAGGCACAGTCCCCGATTTTCCGTCAACCTTATGTTCTACTTGAACCCAAATTGGAGATAAGGTTGACGAAAACTCGAGGAATATGCCTACCTGATGAGCCCCAAAAAGGGCGAAACCGGTCGTGGACTGTCGAAGAGTTTTCAGTAACCTTGTGAGTAGTTTCCTTTATGAAAATACACTGCGATATCTCGAGTATCGTGCCAACTGAAACATGAGACGGCCTGTGTGCAGCAAATTCAGTTGTAGAATATCATAAACGGGAGATTCAGTTGAGTCTCTCATGAAAACAAATTTGATTTGCAAATAAGTGTATTTCTTCCTAAGACATATAATAAAGTATTACCAGCTAAAAAGATGTTCTCCACAGAATTCACCATCACTATTCTCCGGTCAACGTCCTCTCCGCAATCAGCAAACTACAGCTTCACTATATCGTGTACACCGACCCTGCCGCGTTCAACTTCCTATTGATTCGTTTATCAGGTGAGGCCAGCAAATGAGACGGCCATTTGCCTGGAACAAAGCAACCACCGCCAGCAGTTCTAAAATATGGCTTCTATAGCTTGGTATCGAAATTATTCTATTCCAACAAGTAAAAGAAGGCCAAGCAGCGTATGTTCTTCTAAGTCATCTTATATGATCTGATTGGTGGCCTTCGTTGAGTTTGCCAGAGTTCCGTCGTAAGAATAGTGTATAATACAACTCTTCCCATCAGACAGGCAAAGCCAGCCGTTCCTGGGTTCAATTATCACCTTGAGGACACAAACCTCGACTTAGTAACTATCCTGAGAAAAGTTCTAGAATAGACCTAAAGAAGAAAAGGTTGCTAGGGAAGCGCATGGTCTGATTTCAAAAGAAGTTACGAACATGGTATCATAACGCTAAACTTTAAAACAATTACTTGGCGGGAACCATTCGTTTGCCCTCTTTTTTTAAAAAACCTAACCTAACCGAAGTTCTCTGTGTTTGCTAACACACTGTCTTCACGATACGAAAGAATCCCGCATAGAATGGAGAGTGCTGGTGAAAGAAATGACAGATTTGGATCATCTCCTACGTCCTTCTCGCCCATCTGCTGAAAACTGTGTGACCTTCAACTGCAGTCAGCAGGGGTGATGAATTCGGTCGCTAACCCTAAATTATAAGCAACTGATATATACACTAGTATCAATAAGTGTATTTACCTACTTGTCATTGGAAAAGGAAAAAAAATTCTCCCTAGCAAGACCCAAACTACAGTAATAAACTAAAATTAGGTTTTTGTAATGTACTACTCATAAGGTTGCTGAAAATCCGTCGACAGCCCACGACCGGTTTCGCCCGTTTTGGGGCTTATCAGGTAGGCGCAGTCCCCGGGTTTCCGTCAACCTTATGTTCTACTTGAAACCAAATTGCACGAAATTAGCGAATATACACTCATTTGCAAACTAATTTGGTTCTTTCAGAGACCCACCCGGAACCCAGCTGAGAGAACATCACAAACAAGAGATTCAGCTGGGTTCCGGATGAGACTCCCGAGAGAACCAAATTAATTTGCAAATGAGTGTATATTCACTAAAATTAGGTTGTTTGCAGTCCAGAATTCGAGCCCTGACAGTATGATGGAAGGTTATTCAAATGCATGGATACATGCTTCCCCAGATAGCGCTTAACCAACGCTCAATGTGCGGATGTCGTATTTTCTCTCAGAATTGATTCTCTTGACATGCAGACGACGTTGACATTTTTGTACAAAAATGACCGGGTTTCAAGCGATGCGCTCTGATTTTTCTGGAATTTAACATTTTGTTACCGAAATGAATAAAGTGTACTCTTCCTCTCTACTTAGCAAGTTGTGCACTGGCGACCATTGGTAAGCTCACGTGACTGCATGATGTGAATCCACTGATGGAAGGATGAGTGGCGCTGTATCCTATTCAAACGAGAGCTAATCATACTACTGATCAGCCTCTTGTGGTCGAGCATAGGAACAATTACAGGACTACGAGTTCAAATCGCTGATGATTCTCAATAAAGGCGAAGCAGCCGTAAAGTGCTTCTTGGCCTTTCGGGAAAGACTGCCTTCACTTATGGGACAAACTCTTGAATATTTGTGGAGTGCTGTTTTCTACCGATACATGAGAAAGCCTACGGAATGCATAGGGCCGTTTCATGTTTGCATGACTTTTCCCGTCTGCTCATTGCATCAAAAAGGTGTCCGCTTATCAAACAATGACAGAGATAACGGTGTTTATATGGTGCACTAAACGAGGAGCTCACAACAATAGCCAAGTTTGCCTCACTCACCAGTCTCAATGTCTACAGCCCGCTCACCCATCCATTCATTCTACATTTCGATTTTCTGCCCAAGGTACCCAGGTCAGGGATTACTGGGGCTGGTTGCTTGGACGAAAGGATCAGCACTGAAATTATGTTGTTAAATAAGTGGAGGAGACGTGAGCGAAGGATCGCTTATCCCTTATGATGTAGTAATTCCCACCGGCCTAAAAGGCTATCATTAGTCTTTGTTGCGAAGACGCTGGGGTGACTCCTCTGACAGGAGCTGGTTCCATTAAGACCAGCTCCAAACTACTAACAGGACCTCACGAAGTCATGGATGTGACAAGTTTGATTTTCTGAACGAAATTATCCGTTCAGTGTTGTAGTTGTACGTCAGTTTATCAGTAGTATAAACCAGAAGACATTTAAATTGACATTCCCTGAAAATTTTCTACAACAATAGTCCGAAAAGATTACCTGCTTGTTGTAGGATCGGCTGTAAATCAGTTGTGGTGTTGCAGTGTTCATGCTCGGTACCAGCTGATTACGTATGAGGGAGCCAGATTTTCTGAGAAGAACAAGTTAGGAAACTAAATATATCATTTATTTTCTCTATCACTGATGAAAACGCACCCCTAGAAGGCGAGAAATGTGGGACATCTGAAGATCTCTTGAATATGTTACATCCCTCCCACGCATGCAGTAATGCAACAGTTAATTTGGAAGAACAGTACTTGTTGGTTTGGTGTGACCCAAAGCTGTTGGCTTTCGAGGAGGCCATCACGTAGTTTGAAGAACTGGACCACAGTGTGTACCTCCTCAAAAAACATCAACCCATCTCCACGTACGGTTCGAGTACAGTTTTGGTGAATGGTTTCCTTCAATCTAACCGGAGCAATGTCTTACCCTAGAGTGTGGACTTTATACCAGAAGGGACGAAGCAATCGACAAAAATTGCACTTTAACTGTCCATAACTCTTCTGTGACTTGAACAGCAGTTAACTGATGAAAGAAGCGAGCAAGTTACCATTACGTCCAAATAATTGACGAATATTGCCGTCTACTCACCCCTTAGCCCCAAACAGTGTGAAGCAACTTCCGGTGGTTGACAACAGAAAATGGGATCAGGTGACAGAAAATTCTGCAAGGGAAGATGAAAAATACCCCAATGAATATAGCACACCATATGACAAATAATCAAGTTAAACACATTACGGCTCAACACATGGAGCGAACTTTCGCAGGGAATAACACATGACGGGTGAAACTGCGAAAAGCCAATTCAGTCTGTTGAAAAAACAGGTACTTTTCAGATTGCACGGGAGAGACGTGAATGACCATTCACACATATCTGTTTTTACTCTACTGATCGGCCATTCGGCACTCCATCCATCGAGTATGAAACAATAAACTCGATTGCATATCTAACCGAACCAAGGTGTGCAAATTCTAGGTTTAAAACTCCTTTCGACTTCCATCAGCAAACGAAACTTCCTTTTGAAAACAATCGGTGAACTTTTTAAGCTTATACATCCTTTATTTCAAGTGATTCAGGCTCAGCTCCCATTTTCAAGATTGTCGCCCTTCTATAGTGGTATATATATATATATATATATATATATATATATAT